TGTCGATGGTGATATCTGACAGAGATGGTTGGAAGGAACGTGTCAGGAGAATCCAAGAAGAATTCTTAACCTGATAATGATCATGACCAAGATTTGTATTTCGGTTACTTGTGATTTCAAAGCTTGTTTACATACATATATCGGCTGACATGAAGTGGGAAGACTACATTCAATCCATTGCTAGGTCAGCTTGTAAGAATGTTGGTTCACTGTGAACAAATTTTTGAGAATCTATCTTAGATATCTAAAGTCTACCATTCGTCCATGCTTAGAATATTGTTGCCACATATGATCTAGAGCTCTTGTGTGTTGGAATGTGTCACAAAAAAAATGATTTTGTCTTTTTCTCTCCTGCTGTCGTACATGAGACTGAAAAACTAGCCTTTCACATAGAAAAGGTAATCACCTATGCAAAACACCAACAAAACCAGCTACCAATCACAGTTCTATTCACCTAATTAAGTATCCAATGAACTTTAGACATTGACCGAAACTGTTCAAACATTACATTTTGGACCCTGATCTTAAGATCAAATCTTCTTAAGAGATGGTTGTGTTCTGTCTGTTCAGACTGCAATATATATACAACTTGCAGCGCTTGACATATTGAGATAACGAGACAATTTTTTTTAATTAATATGAATTTTTTTTGCATTATATGCTAAAAATTTAGATATCTTTTTTGATTCAAATACATACTTTGGCTGGATGTCAAAAAAAAAAGTTAACCAAAAATAAAAATAAAAAGCTGTCTTCTAGATGGGCTTATCCCATCCAGTCCCCAAAATAAATCCCTAAAAAATCTAATATAACCTTATGGCGTCTAAACAGTAAAAAATCCACCACTAGTAAAGGGTGTCACTTGAGATTTTTTTGAGATGTTTATTTTGCAAAATAATTAGAAAACACTAATTTATTTCCAGTATATTTATGTATACGTAAACTATTTGAATTTCATTAACCTAGACACATTTACAAAAGTAAATGTCCATATCCAAATAACTTTCACTCAAAAAAAAATTATATGAAGTGGAAAGATCAATTGAATCAATTGCTAGGAAAATGATTTCACTGAGCCACACTAGACGATTTTTAACAAAAACAGAATCTAACTTACATATTTAAAGTCTATCATTTGTTCATACTTTGAATACTACATTTGTTTTGTGCTTTGGCTATTTATAAAAAATTTATTTTGATTATTTTAAAAATGTTAGAATTGTAAATGTATAATTGTCTAGATTGTTTTTCTTAATACACATTCTTTTGAGAGAAGTGTATTTTTTATGTAGGTCAGACGGTTGGAGTAAAATCGTTACAATTGTGTATTTTTTTCATCTCAGCAGTTAAAACCCGATAAAATTTATGAAAGATCTTTTTCGGTTTATGGAAAAAAATTTTTTTTTTTTGTATAATGAGAGATGTGGTCTCAAGCTCTAATAACATCCCAAATAGTGGGGCAGTTATTTTAAAATAAATTGAGCTCAGGCCAGTAGATGCAAGAAGACTTTTGGACAACAAGGGAACAAGGCAGGTCAACATCAAAGAAGGTGTGGCGGACTTCACCACATTAATTTAACTTAAGATTAGGAAACAAAACTGATGTGGAAAAAGATAAGCAAAAGACATTGTTACACATAAAATATGTATTTAACAAGATGTACACTCAAACAACGATGTGAAAAAAAAAACATGCATTTAAGTAAAAAAAGGTTGAATAAAACAAGAGTTGTCTCTCTTTAACTATTATTTTGTATTTCAAAGTTCACTGGAAGAATGTTTTATGAGAGAAATTCTTATAAATGACTGTTCCTAGAAGATTTTTTTCTGTGTAAAAAAAATTATGTGAGTGTATAAGGAATGTTCAGTATGTGAATGGTGGTGTGAGTGGAGAAGGTTGGTGCATGGTTTCAACTGTCGTGGATTTGTTTGGCAGCTGAATTCTCACTAATTAGCTAAGAAAAATTCCTATAAGTGACTATAGGCTCCAAATCGCTGCATGGGAAAAGTTATTTCATGCATGCAGATGGTCTTATTGGTTGGCATTGACCAATCAGTGAGCGAGTTTTGGGGAAACTAAGAAAGCTTCTGGGATCCGTTTCCCCAAAAGTGCACAAAATTGACAACATAAAATAGAGCAATTAAAAAAAATTGTTGCATTGCTGCGATTTGTAAATTGTCTTTAATAACATAGTGGTGATTTATTAACCAATGAATGCTTGTCATTGTATGTGATTTGTATTTGTGTATTTATATGTATCTATGTATGTATGTGCAATATATATCGGCACAAAGGCATTTGACATCATATAAAAAATTTTATTTGTAGTATTTTAAAATTTTTAGAATTGTAAATGTATAATTGTCTAGGTTGATTTTTTTAATACATGTCTTTTTTGAGAAATTGTATTTTTTTATATATAAGTACAGTATAAAAAATTATTACATTTTTAAGAGCTCAAGCAGTTGAGTGGCAAATTATTTATTGAATTGCTGTCAATTCATTTTTCCAAATCTTGAGAACAGTTTCATATGAGAGAGATATCTTTTGAATCACTTTGAAAACTTGAAGTGAGCTGGTATGAAAGTCCTTTTTTCAACAAAACAGAATGCTATGAGCGAATAAACAGGAAAGAAAGAAGGAAGTGATGAAAACAATTAATGGTTGAGAGGAAAAGAAGGCATTCTTTTCTGTACTTTCCTGAGAAGAATTTAAGTTGGGTGCATCTTTATTTTCTGCCTTGTGAAATTTTTTTGGCTTTCTAAGTTTTTCCTATTTTTAAGAATGTAATATGTTTTGCCTTTAAATCCTTGTTTAAAAAATTGTAACACTTTTTTTCCTTGGTAGCTGGCTTGTTGGTGTTTTTTTTCAAGGTGTAAAACTTGTTTGCTCCGATCTCAAATGGCAATTATTGATTCATCCTGTGTCTTGCTGAATTCAAGATCCAGCTTTCCGCCATCTTGCTTTAGGCAAAAATAAACGCTTCAAATAGCTGTTGGAATTCTCGAAAAAAAATGATTTTTGTCTCTTTCTCTCCTGCTGTCATAGTGACGGACACAGTCTCCACTTCTGAAACTGAAAAAAACTTCCCTCCTTCTCATTCCAGCCCTTTACATAGAGCTTGGTAACTCACCTATGCAAAACACCAACAAGCCAGCTACCAATCACAGTTCCGCGCCTGCCCACCTCCACTCACTTTGGGGGTGTCAAGTTGACCGACCAACTCATTACACCTGCTATATATTTAGAGATTCTCGATATGAAGAATCAGCAAGATTATTGGCCCAGGTGTTGGCACTTTACAAATGCTATAAAGTTGCCTCCCTGTGCTTTCTCAATAAATACTGGAGATAAATTCTGTAAAACCAGCTAAATCTTTTATATATCAGAGTGCTTTTGACTGTTCTATTAGCCATGATCAAGGATTTTTTAATTTAAAAAAATTTAACTATAAATTTAACTATAAAATTTATAACACATATAAAAAATATACATATTCCTTTAAAAATAAAAGAACAAACCAAAACAAAACATCCTTGATAATGGCTAACAGAAATGCCAAAAGTACTTGGATATATAAAACATTTGGACAGTTTACATTATTTGAACTATTGTCCTCAAGGACACATGTTACAGTGGATAAAGGCGTTAATTAGATCCAGTGACAGGACTCAAAGAGTGTGAGTTTAATACCTGGTTAGGGCGGTGGAGAACTTGGAGAGGGGAATTAACAGGAGATAACTGATAACTGACATCTATTAGACATGGCACGTGGAACTAGAACAGTCTACCCCAGTGAACGAATTAAAGGGTTCAGTTCGACATTCCAACCACCTGAAGAAGGCTGGAGCGTACAACGGACGAAACGTTGTAATAAATATGGCGACAAAGATGAGGACAATAGTTTGGATAATGTAAATAGTGTACATAATACCTCATCTCAGAAATATACAGATACATTTGGACAGTTTTTACTCATTTTCCGTCCAGAAAAGAAAACATTTATAAGACTTATGTCAAAATGATCTCAAAAGCAACCTACAATCTGTTGTTAACTGGGGCGAGGAATGGTTTGTTAATTTTAATGCCTCTAAAACAAAACTGCTCTCTATTAATCATTTGAGAGAACCTTCTATCAGCATGACTGATGCTAACCTCCAGGGAAGTGCTGCTTCTTCCACCGTGAGGAAAGTTGGCTCTCTGTGCCGCGCCAGGAAATTTTTCTTCCTGGAATCGATACTTCAAATATACAAATCAACTATTCGCCCTTGCATGGAGTATTGCTGTCATATATGGTCTGGTGCACCTTCTGTTTACCTTGGAGTTCTTGACAAGATCCAGAGACGGATATGTAATATAATTGGCCCTGATCTGGCATCTCATCTACAGTCACTCTCTCACAGATGCGTTGTCGCCTCTCTATGTCTTTTCTACAAATACTTTCATGGTAATTGCTCCGATGAGCTGCTTTCACTGGTTCCCAGACTCCATGAATTCAAGTGCTCTACGAGGCTGGTAATTGTTTGGAAGAGCTCTTTGCAATGGTACCTAAACTTTCTTTGGTGTTCTCCTCTTGATTGTAAAAACTTTTAATTTCCTACCAAATCCAAGATCTTGTGGCAGATACAAAACTTATTAGAAATAGCGACTCTCTATAATAGATGTGAATTTACATAACAAGACAACTACTGTGTAAAATTTTAAAAAGGAAAAATACATTTATTTTACAATATTTAAAAAAGGTACAGATAGAAGGTTGCCCAAAAATTTCCTTTTGTGCACCTATTATAACAGGATAACAATTTTCTGGGGTTACAAAAAGGAGATTACCATTAGATATAAGGAAAAAAGTGTTACAATTTTTTAGACAAGGATTCAAAGGCAAAACATATTACATTCTTTAAAAATAGGAAAAACTTAGAGGAAGCCAAAAATTTCACAAGGCAGAAAATACAAGATGCACCCAACTTAAATTCTTCTCAGGAAAGTACAGAAAAGAATGCCTTCTTCCTCCTCAACCATTAATTGTTTTTCATCACTTCCTTCTTTCTTTCCTGTTTATTCGCTCATAGCATTCTGTTTTGTTGAAAAAAGGACTGTCATACCAGCTCACTTCAAGTTTTCACAAGTGATTCAAAGATCGTCTCTCATATATGAAACTGTTCTCCAAGATTTGGAAAAATGAATTGACAGCAATTCAATAAATAATTTTGCCACTCAACTGCTTGAGCCAAAAATGTAATAATTTTTATACTGTCTGGCATTCAAAAAAATACACTTCTCTCAAAAAGACATGTATTAAAAAAATCAACCTAGACAATTATACATTTACAATTCTAAAATTTTTAAAATACTACAAATAAAATTTTTATATGATGTCAAATGCCTTTGTGCCGATATATATTGCACATACATACATAGATACATACATAAATACACAAATACAAATCACATACAATGACAAGCATTCATTGGTTAATAAATCACCACTATGTTATTAAAGACAATTTACAAATCGCAGCAATGCAACAATTTTTTTTAATTGCTCTATTTTTATGTTGTCAATTTTGTGCACTTCTGGGAGAAACGGATCCCAGAAGCTTTCTTAAGTTTCCCCAAAACTCGCTCACTGATTGGTCAATGCCAACCAATAAGACCGTCTGCATGCGAAGAGTAACTTTTCCCATGCAGCGATTTGGAGCCTATAGTCACTTATATAAGCAAGAATTTTTCTTAGCTAATTAGTGAGAATTCAGCTACCAAACAAATCCACGACAGTTGAAACCATGCACCAACCTTCTCACTTACACCACCATTCACATACTGAACATTCCTTATACACTCACATAATTTTTTCTTACACAGCAAAATCTTCTAGGAACAGTCATTATAAGAATCTCTCATAAACATTCTTCCAGTGAACTTTGAAATACAAAATAATAGTTAAAGAGAGACAACTCTTGTTTTATTCAACCTTTTCTTACTTAAATGCATGTTTTTTTTTCACATCGTTGTTTGAGTGTACATCTTGTTAAATACATATTTTATGTGTAACAATGTCTTTTGCTTATCTTTTTCCACATCAGTTTTGTTTCCTAATCTTAAGTTAAATTAATGTGGTGAAGTCCGCCACACCTTCTTTGATGTTGACCTGCCTTGTTCCCTTGTTGTCCAAAAGTCTTCTTGCATCTACTGGCCTGAGCTCAATTTATTTTAAAATAACTTTAATTACTATTTGGGATGTTATTAGAGCTTTCATTTTACATCTCTCATTATACAAAAAAAAAAATTTTTTCCATAAACCTAAAAAAATCTTTCATAAATTTTATCGGGTTTTAAATAGGACCAAGATAAAAAAAAATACACAATTGTAACGATTTTACTCCAACCGTCTGACCAAATAAAAAAAATACACTTCTCTCAAAAGAATGTGTATTAAGAAAAACAATCTAGACAATTATACATTTACAATTCTAACATTTTTAAAATAATCAAAATAAATTTTTTATAATATAGCCAAAGCACAAACAAATGTAGTATTCAAAGTATGAACAAATGATAGACTTTAAATATGTAAGTTAGATTCTGTCAAGAAAAATCGTCTAGTGTGGCTCAGTGAAGCACCTTTCCTAGCAATTGATTCAATTGATCTTTCCACTTCATATAATTTTTTTGAGTGAAAGTTAATTTATATGGACATTTACTTTGTAAATGTGTCTAGGTGTGGAAATTCAAATATGTGCACGTATACATAAATATACTGGAAATAAATTAGTGTTTCTAATTATTTTTGCAAAATAAACATCTTAAAAATCTCAAGTGACACCCTATTACTAATTTTTAGTTAATTCTACAAGTGGTGGTTGGCGTAAACTTTTACTGTTTAGACGCCATAAGGTTATGATGTCAACAGAAGGGAGATAACTCAGACAAGATGAGATCACGCGAGATTTGGCGTTAACTCGCCACGTTCATCAAACCCCGTTGTAAGCATAATTCTTTACCCGGCTTATTGACGGCTGGGTTTGCTAAATTAGGTTTTTTTTTTTACCTTTACCCCTTAAAGATACCCCAGGAGAGGTAAGTCTTTGTTTATCTATAATATTTATATTATTCCTTATTGCTTCGTATGTGTATGTTATTTCTTTTTTATGTTTGTTATTATTGCAATGTGTGTTTACGAAAGACAGGAAGATTTTGTTGGGGGTCTGCCCCCTTTTATGGTGGTGCGTTTAAAAATTAAGTTATATTTAAAAGAAAATTTGCATTTTATTGTGTTAAAACAATATAATATTTCAAAACTAGTTTATTTAGTAAGCAATACGTTTAGGTTATTATATCAAATATTGATAAGAATTATGATTTTCAAGCTTATTGTTTCTAAAAAGTTATAAATTTTTTACGACGACGTGTCAGTGTTTGTTTAGTTACCAGGAAGAAACAAAAAACCTTTTTTATTATTTCGATATTTATTTGAAATATTAATTTTTTAAAATTCTCTTAATTCTCAAAATGTTGAAATCTGTAAATTATCTAAATATTTATGAAGAATAAGCCATGTTTTTATTATGGAATAATAAAATTAATTATTTGCGTAGTTTTGCTATGAAATTCAACACTGGGTTGTTTAAATACAAATTCATTTTTGGATTTGAAAAATAAAAGATTATTTGAAAAATTAAAATGATAAAGTGCCCAGTTATTGAATTTAATCTAAGAACAAAAGTGTCAGTTTCATTTTTCTTTTCATGCCCTTTGTGATCTCTTTCAGTTCTCTAAAACGTAAAAAAGGAAAATAGTTGAGGTGGTTCCAGGTTATTTAATAATTTTAAATTTTAATTGTCAATTAAGTTTAAGTATAATGTTTGTAATTAAAAGTTAAAAACTTTTTAAAGTGTTTAATTTCATAATCATAAAAATCGGTTTGATCCTAGGATGATTAACTTCGCTTCTCTGACTAAATTGAAAAACAAAGACATGAAAAATAAATTCAATTTTAAGTCCTTGTAAGTCGTTATTTACTTTCAGGGCAAACCCTTAAGAATAAAAAAATAAAAATCATTTACTCAATCATTTATATTTTATTTAATTTGTAGAAAGCAAATATTGAAAATAACTTTGAAACTTTTTTGTTTTAGTTATCCAGTTTGATTCGATCTCTCCAGCTAGGAATTGAACCCTGTTCTTATGAGGTGTAATTGTTGACAATAACATGTGGAATATGATTGTTAGTAAAATAATTTTTGTGGAAACGTTCATAATAAAATGATTTTTTTTCTTAATGTTTGTTCTCTATTCTATATAAAAATTAATGAATGTCCTCTCCCTTATCGAACTTTTTTTCTAAAAAAGAAAAAAAAATGTGGAAATGAGCAAGGTGGTTTTAAAGTGGGGGATCGATTTACAATGTACGTAAAATGCCAAAATGATCTCTGACTTAGTAACAATTGTATTTCCTTTTACATTGAATTGAATGTTCAATTGTAAATAAAAATAAATCTACTATTACTTCAACTTTTCCGAATTTTGAGTTCACTTTTAAAAAATAAGTGGTTTAAGTAAGTATTTATTTATTTTTTTTAACTTAAAACTAAAAAAAGTAAGGAATCCTAAAAAAAAATGATTTAAAAAAAGTATATTTTATGATCGAGTTTAACCTGGGGTTAGTTTATTTTTTTAATTTTTTTTTTTTTTTTTTTTAACATCACATGTTGATTTACTAGTCGTAAGGAAAAAAAAAATCAGAATTTTATAATTTTGATTTTCCGTAGATTCAAATTGTGGATGTTAAAAAAGATCTACTATTTTCACAAAAAAGGACACAAAGTAAGGGTTTAGGTGAGCATTAAATAAAAACGGAAGCTAAATTCGTTGAAATTGAAACCACTTTTTCTTTAGGTTGATTTAAAACGAAGAAATTATATAGTTATCAAATAAAAATACACAAAACATGGCCATAAAAAATATAGACTGTTTTTTAACCGAATTTCTTAAAACATGTGAAAAGGAGATTGACAATGAGCTTTTGTTGTTTTTTTTATTAATTTGGTTGTAATGTAAAATTATTATTCAAGTGTTTTTTTTTTTTTTTCTCCACTTTCTTTTTTAAGATCCTGGAAGTCGTGTTTGTAGTAGAAACGGCTGTTAAGTTTTCAGCACCCCAAAGAATTTCTGCATAACACTGACTGAATTATTCCACTAACATTTCCTTTATTTTAGTTATTCTTTTATTTTTCTAGCTCGCCTCATCTCATATTCTAGGCCCTTCAACGTGAAATAAAATAAAGATTTCTAAAATTTGCTTTACATTTTTTTACCCTTCTTGTACCTTTGAAAGAAAATCAGGTATCAGTAATTAATTTTTAATTAGACCTCGATACAAACCCGAACAGTACTAAATAAGAAATCCCTAAATATGATCAACAGAATGAAAACGATATGAAGGGATAACTTTGAAGTTCCTTGAACATTACCTAGATTGACAAACACCTGTTAAGGTTGTAGGGTACAACGATAAAGAAAGATGAAGATAAAAGTCTGTGTAAATAAACACAAGATGATTATTTTTTTTTTTTTTAAGTGTCATTTAATATAATTCATATTGCATTAATTTTTATTAATGATCACTCACTATCCAGTTCATTGTCATCTTTCCTTCATACAAGGGTTGGCAACCTGCTTCATTGTGTCTCTCTGGACTCTCTAAAGCGCTGTCTCTTTCAAATTAAATTCTATTCAACTATTTGTGCAGTTTTTTTAGTGTGAAACCTGTGCCTGGTGTTTTTTTGCAATTTCTTCAATGTTTAGTTTAAATATTTGATAAGAAGGCCCACAATATAAGACAGCAGAGAAATGACGTTTACCTCCAGTTGAAGTACAGTTACATAGGAAGTACATAGATCCCTACATCAGTTTATATGACCCTGACTGGGTATTGACATTAGCACAGTCTGAAATGTAGCAATCCAGTCGATTTTTGTCGGAGGTGAGTTTTCTGAGGACTGAGCTTCACCATTAAATATATATAGTTTCTTTCTTCTTTTTTTTATTACTATTTTCAGCAACATGGAACCAAAAAGTAACTAATTTAAAATTTTGATTTTTTTTTTTTTTTTTTTTTTTTTTTAATCAATTCAACTCCAGGCAAGGTAATAGTGCCAGTGAAAGAGAATAAGAAAACTCTAGCTAGTAGGAAGCAGAAACCCCTTCCTAAATAGGAAACCAGGGATAAACTGCTAGTCCTGTTCAAAAGCTGCATAAAATCTGGTGGGTCATAGTTTTCCCACTCCTAGCCTAAAGTACCTTATGGCAAAGTTAAGCAACATCAAGCCTGGTCAGTACCTAGATGGGTGACTGTTTGGAAATACCAGGTGCTGTAAGCTTGGATGTATGGGTGGTGTAATGGATACTGGCTTGGAATTGGAGTGCTGAGTTTCAGTTCCATTCGTTATATTCACTTATGTGCAAATACTCTTGGGAAAGGTATCAATCCACCTCTTTTCCCCTATCTATGGGTTAATTAATAAGATTTATATCACTAAAACCATTATTATCCAAAAATAAATAAAACTGTCTTTATTTTGGAGATGAGGTAATGTAATTATTTACATTATTCAGACTGTTGTCCTCATCTTTATTGCCATGTTCATGCTACTTCAGCCGTTGTATGCTCCAGCTGTCTTCTGATGATTGGAATTTCAAACGGAACCTTTTATTTCGACCACTGGAGTAGATTGTTCTAGTTTCACATGCCATGACTCTTTCAGATGTCTCCAATTAGCTCACTTTAACTCAACCCTCCACGTTTTTTTTGTTTATCACTGTAATTTCAATCACCTGAAGAAGGCCAGATTGTACAGTGTCTGAAACATTGTGGATATGACAATAAAGATGAGGACAACAGTCTGAACAATGTAAATAACGTAAATAAATAAAATTTTGTTCAAAATATTTAAATTTTGGCATTAAATAACCCTTAATGATGTTGATATGCTGTTAAACGAAAACAACCAAACCAAACTTGGCCAAATGTGGATCTGACATAATTTTATAAATTTCAAATCACAATTATTTTATTCTTGTTCTAATGATTAAATTCTCTCATGTTCTTTTTTATTTTTTTCTCTTCTTTCTTGTTGAAGGCCAATCAGTACAATTCTTTGAAGATGGTTTCGGTAAGAGTTTGGGGAATTATTTGGATTCTTTGTTTTCTTTTTTTTTTTTATATCAAACTCTGATTTTTATTTTATTTTATTTTTTTACAGGTTATTTATTTATTTCTTATCTTTTGGTCTTCTCGGTTGATTTGCTATTTGCTTTACTTTTTTTCTTTTTCTTTTTTTTTTTTCACTTCTTCCTAAACTGACACAAGATTTTTGATAGCTTTAAATAGTTATACTAAATAAATATTTAAGAAAATTGATTTTTAAGACTATAGCTTCGATATAATTTGTTAAATTTTGAACTTATTTAAATGTTAATTTAACGTCTTATTTATAATCTGACATTATTTCTTATTACTATAAACCTGTGGTCAATGCCTCCCAATGTCCCTGGGCCACATCCAGCCTATGAAGGATTTTTGTCTAACTTGTCAATGTAACTGTAGTAAAGAATTTGTGTTTTTTTTTTTTTTTTATTGTGTTAGTTATTATCCTGTGATTCCTGCAGTGAAATAAGGAATCTTATTTAAATAATATAACATTAACTTTGTTGTTTTTTCTTTAAACCTTCAAAGCAAGACAGCCTTCTGGACAGAAGTCTGCAGTCAAGACAATTTATTCTAGTACATTTTATAACATAAATCTCCTCCAAGACACTGCATAGCTTTCTGGCCCGCTCTCTCCAAAGATTGCCAACCCCTGCTATAAACATTATAGTTAGTAGGTACACATGTTTGTGTAGACCTATCCATTTTTTTTTTTTTTTTTTTTTTTTCTGAATTCAAAACTATGCAGGTGGCAATGGAAAACCACTCCATTATATTTCCCAAGTTTTGGCAAAAAAAAGTATCTTTGGAGAATCATCATTCCCTACAGCCTGAAGGAACATAGCATTAGAATTTTTTTCTCCTTTTTTTT